GGATGAACTTAGGATGTTGTATATTTGGTGGGTACAAAGAGAGAGCTTCGAGAACTAGTGATCGAATATGGAAATCGAGAAGACGAGCTTTGATTTGGCATGGTGGAGAAGAACGATGATGGTGTGGGAGTCAAGGCAGGTGTTGATGGTGTTGAGATAGATAAGGAGAGAACCAAAGTCAAAAAGCTTGGGCTCTATTTTTTATATGTGAAAGAGGGAGTCTGGAAAAAAAAAATAGAAAACAAATGAGAGAGAACGGCATGTTTGGTTGTTGTTATTGTGGAGTGGCTCTAAAAGTAAGAGAGAGAATGAAGACATCAACTTTTCACACAAAGCATGTAGTAAGACATCTGGTAGTGATGGAGGTCTTAGAACGGTTAATCAAGGATAAATTGGTTTATTAAAAATTAATGAGACTTGAAGGAGCAAATAATCTTATCTAGGACTTAATGGATTATAAGTTCACAATATGGGACTTGTATGTAAATGCCCCTATAAATTAACAGTTTAAGTAAACTTAATAAAACTATGCCAAAATTATAAAATTTATTATATTTTCTTAAAATTTCAAAACAGCAAAGTGTAATTTATCCATATTTTAAGGAGCAATGAATTTCACAAATAATTTGATAAATACAGTATTTTAATAAATAATTATATTTAAAATATAAATTTTCACTAAAAAGACCCAAATTATAAAGGGTAATTACTATTTAGAGCATTCACTCCAAGGTGAGCTTGTATTTGTACACACCCATTCCTTTTTGTGCACATCCTTCTCAATACACATAGTTAAAAAATTAAAACACCTCTTATTCCACATCTACCTTCCAATATAAATCATGCATACACCCTCAGAGAACACAAACCCCTCAGACCCGTCTCTCGCACTCTACCGTTCGTCCCCTAATGCTTCATCCATCCGTTGAAGATGTTTCATTGAAGGATTGGCATTGAAGAGCATTGAACAAAATCACGTAAATCATTGAAGGAAATCTTCACATTTGGAGAACTTAGGTTAGTTTACTTATATTAATCCTTATTCCTATTTCATTTGTAAAGTAGGGTTTGTTTTTACCATTTTTAAAACGAACGCATAGCCCACCTCTTTTCCTCATTCGAAACTGGTTTTCCGAAAATAAAATATTTGTACAGCAGTAGAAATCCGAAAATTAACATTTAATTTGACATTAGAATTCAGAATGTTTTTATTTATTTCGACATTCAACTTCCAAAAGTAATTTATTTTTTTGGTTTTCAACTTTCGAACAGTAGAGATATTGGCGATTTTCAACTTTCGAAAGCTATGTATATTTTTTTCTCTTTTGTATATTCTTTTTACAATTGTATGCTCATTAAATATATTATTTTTGCAAATAATATGGTTTCTGAATGTCAACAACGCGTTCCACCTACTGCTTCTAATAGAAGACGTAGTGAATTGGATGTTGACCATGAACGGAGATGAGGTCGAGGTCGTGGTCGAGGTCGTGGTCGAGGTCATGGTCGAGTTCCGATAGAATATGATATCCCCAGTGCCAATCACAGTCAAAGTCGTAGCCGAAGCCGAAGACGAGTTGAAGGTGATATGCCTGACATTGCCATGGAGGATGCCCCTTTACCCGATTCTCCTACTGTCTAGGAAAAGGACCTTACTCAAGCTTTTTCAGGTGGACTACTGATCCATCACTACTGCTGAGTTTCAATAGTCATGTCGCTACAGTTGTTTGGCAGGGGAAGGTAAACATTCCTGAGTAGAAGTTAAATTCAATTGTATATGATTTTTTTATGGTGTTATATGGTAATTTCTAATGTGATATTAATTTCTTTTATAGGAACGAGGGCCCCTAAAGTGTCATAGTCACTCTTTGAAGATCCTTGCATGGGAATGGTGGTTAGTAGACAACAACACCAGATTCAAAGCCATTATCAAGCGGTCTGGGCTGTCACAGTTAGCTCGTTGCACTTATCGGTTCGTCAACAAGCTTCTAATCTCCAGTTTTGTTGAGAGATGGCAACCGGAGACTTGTTGGTGTTATTAGTTCACTGATTAGTATGTACTCTAGATGTGGGTATTTGGATGAATCTGTAAAAGCTTTCTTGGAAAGGGAAGAAGCCGATGTGGTCTTGTGGAGTTCAATGATTGCTGCATATGGGTTCCATGGGAAGGGAGAGGAAGCCATCGAGCGATTTAATCAAATGGATCAAGTAGGGTTGGATGCAAACGACGTTACTTTTTTAAGCTTGCTTTATGCTTGTAGTCATTGTGGATTGTAAGATAAAGGACTTCAATTCTTTAATTTGATGATAGAAAAGTACGGATTGGAGCCTCGGCTAGAACATTATACATGTGTGGTTGATTTGCTTGGGCGGTCTGGCTGTTTGGAGGAGACAGAAGGTTTTATAAGAACTATGCCTGTAAAGAAAGATGCTATTATATGGAAGACTTTATTATCTGCCTGTAAAATCCATAAAAACGCAGATATTGCTAAAAGGATTGCTGAAGAAGTTCTTAGGCTTAAACCTCAGGATTCGGCTCCTTATGTGCTGCTGTTGAATATTCAAGCCTCTGCTAAAAGATGGCAGGATGTTTCAGAAGTGAGGAAAGTGATGAGAGATAGGAGGGTGAAGAAGGAGCCAGGTATCAGTTGGTTTGAGGTGAAGAACCAGGTTCACCAGTTTTGTATGGGTGACAAATCCCATCCACAATCAATGGAGATTGATATGTACTTGAAAGAACTGACTTGGGAAATGAAACTACAGGGTTACGTGCCTGACACCGGCTCTATTTTACATGACATGGATGCTGAGGAGAAGGAACACAACTTGGCACACCATAGCGAAAAGTTGGCAATTGCTTTTGCAGTGATGAACACCCCAGAGGGTGTTCCAATCCGGGTGATGAAGAATTTGCATATCTGCGGTGATTGCCATGTTGCTATCAAGTACATATCGGAGATACAAAATCGAGAAATTATTGTATGAGATGCTAGTGGGTTTCACCTTTTCAAAGATGGGAAATGTTCTTGTGCTGATTATTGGTAGGGAGATTTTACACTACTTTGGCTGTTTATGGCATCAATTCTTTGTTTTATGTTTTGAACAATGGGATTTTTCTCATTTATTCATGTAACATGATTTTAACTCATCTCATATATGGAAAGAGATGAATTTGTTTTTATACAGACTTGTTGGAAACTTTTTGTTAGTATTTTTCATGTGTTTTACAATAATAGAACAATTATTTTAGTTGCATCGACAACATTCCATTGTGTCAAAGGTGTGGTGTGATTCGGAAAACTTACTTAAAAAGGTACTAGCTACTGGCCTTCTGAGCCATTCAATTAACAAGTTTTCATAATTGCATGCTACATTGCCATGGCAGTAAGAAAAGTTCGTAAGATTTATTAGTTTTTATTGTATTTTTTCTCTTGTTATATGGTCCACATGACATGAACTATTGATAGCTTCTGTTGACCATTAGTGCTCGGCCAAAAGTAAGAGTAATAGACTTGGAATTATCATTGGCCATATAGTTGATTCTCATTCTTTAGAACCGAAGTATAAAAATTTCAAGGACGGTTAAGCATTAAAATCTGATAGAAGTTTTGAGATTCAAATTTTCATTAAATATTGGGATTGCAGTCAAAATTCTTAACAGCAATAGAAAATAAAAAAATCAAGGACTAAATTGGTTTTGAAAATTCTATCTTAAATACACTCAGATGCTTCACCAATTTACATTTAGTGGCGAATCTAAAACTTGTCTTGTGGGGAAGAAAAGGTCTCACCATCTCCTATCCTAAACTACTTGTCTTACCTTTAAATTTATCTTTTAAACTGATTGTTTAGATTTTGTATATTAACAAAATTCAAAATTAAGAAAACCTGTATTAGTTGAAAAATTGGGAAGTAAATCATATTTTAACTTCTCTTATTTAAAAACAGAATTTTTTTAATTGTTTCAATTCTAAAGACTTACATATTCATTAAACTGAGTGTTATTTAATTTCTATTTAATTTAATTTTTATTTTAGTATTATTTTTTTGCATAATGGACAAATGGTGGGTGAGAAACTAAGAATTTGTACCAAAAATACAAATATCACTACGTACATGGAATTCAACCATATAAAAGTACCAAGAATGTACACTTCAGCATGGTCAGGCCTATCAGAGGTTTCCTTAGCCTCATTATTTTCTCCAGAGGTAAGCCCCATTGTGTATTATTTTTTTATTTTTTTGTGGTTTAATTTGGTGTACATAGACTTATTCTATCCATCATTACACACATGTATACATATATACCTCTCTGTGTGCAGGCATGCTCATTTACCTGGAAGTTATGATACACATTGACATTCACATGGGCTCATTGGTCAATCTCTGCCCATAGAACCTGTATAAAATTGCTCCACCTCCCTTATAAGACTTGACTTGTGATAACTTTTGTTCTCCCACCCCCAAGTTTACTCTGGTAACTCTTTATAAAGCTAGCAACAAAAGAGCGATAAAAGTAATTCATCAGAGATCATGGCTGGAATAATCATATTTTTGTTTGTTTTCAGTATGTGTTTAGCTAAAAATAATGCCCAAACTTCTGTTGAGGCGGCTGGATCTTCTTCCTTGCCTCCATCATTTGGTCCCATGTTCTACCTCAATTCAACTTTCCCCTCAATTTCGTACAATAATGATTCTAATGGTAGGAGTCTCCTCAGTGAAGACAGCTCAACAACCGTGAGAGCAATCTTCTCAAGAAGGGGAAGTGTTGAGTTTGTTTGTGGATTCTACTGGTTCGGCAGTTGCGCCTATTACTTGTTCTCAGTTGCCATTGTTGGTGGAGGCAATCACAGTGTAGTTTGGTCAACAAATGTCGGCCATCCTGTGAAAGAAGGCGCGACGCTACAACTTACAGTAGATGGAGAATTAGTATTGCGAATTTGGATAGAGACCACGTGTGGTCAACCAATACATTAGCCAAGTCTGTGGTGGGAATGAACATGACAGAATGGGGAAATTTGGTTCTATTCAACAACGAAGGAGCAATTGTTTGGCAGTCTTTTGATTACCCCACAAATACATTGCTTGTTGGGCAACGGTTATATGAGGATCAAAAACTCTTTTCAAGTTCCTCAAACTTATGGGCTCCTGGTTTGTACTTTGCCACATTGAAATTGGCTACAGGTTTTGCTACATACATAAGAGGTAAGGGTCAACCACAAATGTATTATCAGTTGGTGCCAGATCAAACCTCAACCACTAACAGAGGACCATACTATGCAGAGCTTCAACAAGGAGGTTTCCTTGTGAATTTTGGTACATCTCAATCAATGTTTAAAATTAATCCCCTCAATTTTCCTCCACTGTTAGCACTGCATATATAAAATTAGGTAGTGATGGGCATTTGAAGATATTCTATCACAGTAATGCCAATAGGTGGAGGGAGATTGTTGATATGGTTACCCATGATTTAGGTGAATGTCAACATCCTCACCACTGTGGTGAATATGGCTTATGCAGAAAAAGCCAGTGTAGTTGGCCCATAGGCATTGATTGGGTTCGATATTTTGGGCAGACACAGAGCCAAAATGGAAAACGTCGTCAACAGACTCGGCTTCAAATACCCTATATGGGTTGCTCTAGGATTACTTCTTTCTCTTGCCCACGTCCCTTTGACCAGAAGCACTATCTTGTTGAAGTTAGAAATGTAAGCTACTTCAACCTCATCGACAAAGATGCTGCATTTCCAAATATCAGTGACATTGACAGATGCAGAGAGATCTGTCTGCTAAATTGTTCCTGTGGTGCAGTTTTTTTCAGGTCCAACAATAATGTTTCAGATGGGTATTGTTATATCCCATCCACGGTATTGACAATTAGAGAAGGGCCAATCCCAAACCACAGTTTCGCATCTGCAACATTTTTCAAGGTCCAAATTCCTTATAAGGCAGCAAACGGACAAGTAGAAGGCACTGTGCCTGACACTTCTCCACCAACTTCACTTTCAAGAAATCGAAGAAATTTAAAAGCAATAATAACATCGTCGTGTGCTGGTGCCCTTTTAATTTTTGTTGTTACAATTGTTACATGCTTTGTGATGTTGCGCCCAAGCTGCTCAGAGGACGGGGAGGATTGTATGAAGCAAGTTCCAGGAACTCTAATGACGTTTTCATATTAACAGCTGTGTTGCAACATAAGATTGTAAGTAGAGATTGGGAGGTGGAGCATTTGGAACTGTGTTCAAGGGATGTTGGAAGATGGCACTCAGATTGCAGCGAAGCGTTTGGATAAATTGCGCCAAGGGATGAAGGAATTCTTTGCTGAAGTTGAGACACTTGGACACATACACCATGCTAATCTTGTGAGGTTGATTGGGTTTTGTGCAGAAAAAGCTTGCAGGCTTCTAGTATACGAGTATATGACTAATGGCCCTTTGGATAGCTAGATTTTCTGGAATAATCAGAGACCTTGCCTCAATTGGCTAGCTCGGAAGAAGATTATACTTCACATAGCCAAAGGGCTGGCTTACCTGCATGAAGAATGCCGGCAGAGAATAATTCACCTCAATATAAAGCCACAAAACATTCTCTTGGATGAAAGTTTTAATGCCAAAAATCTCTGATTTTGGGTTATCCAAGTTGATAAACAGAGACGAAAGCCATGTTCTGACCACAATGAGAGGAACTCCTAGATATATTGCCCCAGAGTGGCGACAAGCAAGAGTCACCATCAAAGCTGATATTTATAGCTTTGGAATTGTTCTTCTTGAGATAGTTGGTGGCCAGAGAAACTTTGACAGCACACAGTAAGAATCTAGAAAACATCTGCTTCAAGTGTTGCGGGAGAAGGCTGAGTATCAACTATATGGTGGAAAACATAGATGGAGTCAAACAATATCATGCTGAGGAGGTGGTCAAGATGAGAAAGATTGGAGCTTGGTGTTTGCAGAATGATCAGTCAAGAAGGCCTTCCATGTCTATTGTGGTTAAGGTTTTGGAGGGATTGATGGAGGTGGATACAAACTTCAACTACAACTTTACATATGAAATGGCATCTTCTTCGACAATCAACAGCCATGCTTCCATAGCACCCCCAGCTTCAGTTCTTTCTAATCCTTGATGAAAGCAGCAATTAAGGTAACCAAGCAACTTATGTAACTCAGTTCTGAATTTTGATTATTTGGACAAGTTGGACTAGATTACATGGTACTATTAGTTCATGATTAAATGTTCTTTGATTACCAATCCTTTAGGATTATATGTTCTATCCTTCCTCTGGAATGCTCCTGGATTAAGAAGCGAGTAATAGAATCATATCATATCCCATGTTTATTTGAAATCAATAGACATGGATTACATGGTGTAATGACTATAGTTTGAGGATATTTTGATATTTTAACTGCTAAATCTAAACCCCCGTCAATCCCCCATTTTCGTATCCTACCGTCCTCGAGGGACTCAATAGTCCCTCAAATGGAGGATATACAGTTTGGGAGGACTGTTAATCCAAAAGTCCACTTTTATATCTAAGCATGAAAATTCAGTATTGACCAGGATATATAATCCAGTCCCACACTCTTATTCCTCAGAACAAACACAAAGAAGATTATAAGTTCTACAGCTACAACCTGTTTGGACCATATGAACCTATTTTAGAATATAAAATAGGATAGCCATTACAAGTCATAACCTTCTTAAAGTACATTTAAATGAGAAAAGTTGCTGATTTAGGACGAGTAGGGACAACGCTGGATTTTGAAAACAGAAGTTATTTGACGGCCTAAACAATGAGTAATTTAGGATTTTAAGGGTTAAATTGAAGGCTAATAGGTGGAGAAAGGGATTAGGGTTGATTTGGGGGTGATTGGATGGGGTTTTGAGGTTGAAAAGCGCACTTTTAGAGGGCTGTGAATAGTAATCCGAAAATAGTAAATTGAAAAAAAAAAAAAAAAGAAAAAGAGAAGAGAATGAAAAAGATAGGTTTAGGAATCACTCCTAAAATCCTTAAGCATCACACCTAAGGTTTGATTACATCACACAATCCATGAAGAAGCTTCAAAAGCTTTTAAAATTCTCTAAAATATTAACTCTATTAAATTATAGGGTTTATTACACTTTCTATCCCTGAACTATCGTCAAATTGTCTATTTAGTCCCTGAACTATCGATTGAATCTACTAAATTCCTAAAGTATATGAATCAAAATCTATTTAGTCTCTCAACTATCGATTAAATCTATTAAATCCCTACAATATTTAATTTAAACCTTTCCTAAAAGAATTATAAAATTTAAATATATGCCCGTAAGTATTATAAATTAGTAAAAGACCCTAACTAATTAAAATTTTCAACCAAATCAAACCAAACCAAACCAAACCAAGTCTAGTCTTAAGTCCTATCAAATGGGGCCTAACTAATTAAAATTTTATTACAAAAAAAATTTAAAATTTTATTGTCTTTAAAAAGTGTTTTATTTCGTTGTGTGTTTAAATTAGTATTAGAGTTTGATTTATCAGCATTACCAATAAAATTCTATGAATATTAGATATACTAAAAAAGTAGAATTAGATAGTTTAAATAATAACATTTTGCTACAAATAATAATAGAAAAAATAATATATTAATTAAATTATATAAAAAACTTAGCCAAAAACTTAAAAACAATCAATTAGAAATTATTCTGAAATATAATACTAGATAAAGGTAAGCACACGTAGTCATTTTATAATACAAGTAAGAAATATTATAGATAATTACCTTTATCCTTCTAAAGGAAATTCACCACAAGAGCTAATGCCTACTTTTTAAAGACGGAATAAAAATTAAAATTTTTTTGAAATAAAATTTTAATTAGATAGGGTCTTTTACTAATTTATAACACTTATGAGCTTATATTTTATTTTTTTACCATTTTCAGGGAGTATGTAGGTTTTATTTAAATAATTTAGGGACTTACTAGATACAATTGATAGTTTAGGGACTCAATAAACTTTAATCTATATACTTTAGAGACTTAATAGACTCAATCGATAGTTTAGGGACTAAGTAGACAAATTAGCTATAGTTGAGGGGTATAGAGTGTAATAAATCCTAAATTATAAGCATTACATGTCTTCATATAGAATTAGGCGATTTTCTAAACCAACTAGAACAAAAAAAAAAAAGAAACTACTACAATATCCTTGACTTCCAAAACCAATTTGAGACCAAATAAGAAATATAAATAAAATCTAATTAAATAACTTGACCTAAGACAACTCATGGGCGACCCCTACAACCCATGTCCGCAAATATAAAATTACCAAAATATCCCTGATTTAAAAATTCTAGAAAATATAAAATAATCATAAAATAAGACTCTAAAATAATACTAGAAACATAATTATGAATGATTCCTATCGGTTTTTCTTTTAAAGCATGTCAATTTCTAAATATCACCACTTTTTTGAATTTATTCCTCCTTGAGTTTTTTATATTCTGCATCAGTTGCATGCAAGCTTGAGACATACTAAAAACATAAAAGAAGGGGGAAAAATAATATCACATAGTTGTTGCGTTGACGAAGATCTGCAAGTCCAATCAGACCTCAAGTACCTAGGAGAAGAGAAAAACTAGTTAAAATGCCAAAGAGTAAGATGAGAGGTGATAAACAAGTAAACGAAGACACAAATAGCTGAAGCACCTAAAAATCATTTTTTATGGTACCTTATTGAATAGATGTATCTAAATATGCTATTGTAAACCAAATGGTCATAAGATCAAAAAACAAGGGGAAAAAAAGTGTCATGTTTCGAGCGTAATTACTTGCAAAATTCATGGAATGGGTGTAGCCCATAATACATGCAACAAAATGTCAGTTAGCCTTTTTCTTTTTTTTTGGGAAGCTAGTGCAATGTTTACAATGCTGCTCTCCTTGGGAACAGATAAGCCTCTTAAGGCTTTGCTAGGGATTTAAGCAGAGTAGTTGCACAAAACTCCAGCGGTTGGTATATTTTTTAACCCTAGCCATGTGGAGATTAAAAAACTTGAAATTACATTTCCATTAATTCCATTATAAAAATATAAATAGCCAAAGTTCACTAACCACCATAGTTGTTTCAGGACATTAAGGGTTTGCAACTCTGCAGTCACGAGAATTGAGGTTCGTCTATATTGGAATAAAATTTTGGCAATAGAGGTTGACTGTATTATTCTTAAATGTATTTGCAATGTGAATCTAGTTGGCTTATTAATAGCTATAGAGGTCTATATGGAGAAGTAATTGAATTGATGCTACTTGCTCCTACCGTTAACATAGCTAAGTTCCTATACTCAAGAATCCTAGTTTGAGGGAAAGAAAACAAAAAACTGAAGCAAAAAATGAATTTGCATTTGATAATGAAAACCATCATGCTTGGTAGAAACCATAGTTGATTTTTTATCACCTTCAAAATGTCAATGTTGGAGAATGTGATCATCTAGGTGAAGTATGGTAGATCTAAGACCTTACAAAAGCTACAAGACAAACTAAGTTTGTTGGCCTAGTGTAGAATTGTGACAATTTCAGTACTAAATGCAGGTTTATTCTTCAGTTACTAAGAAAGTGATAGGGTCATACCTACTCATGATCACACTGCAATTCTAGCTCTTCTTCCTCCACGATCCCATCAGTTCCAAGAAAATTGTTCTTGATCACATGCAACTGAGCAACAACATGATTAATGGCTGGTTGATCTCTTGGTGGTTTTTGTAAACAAGTGATTTCAATATTAAGTATTGAAATCAAGCACTCATGATTTTTTTGATTGCTAGCAGAGCTCTGATTCCCAGTATTGTTGGTGCTTGAGCTTGCCTCCCCAATTTGTCTTCGTTGAAATAGTGTTGGATCAACAATGCTTGTTACTTGTTCAGGTAAAGCCATCTTAACAAAGTTATGGAGACTCAGATTATCATTAAACATGTTATCAGGTCTCTTTCCTGTAAACATCTCCAATGTCATCACCTCATTTCCTGTACCATACTCTGTTATTCGTGTATAATACAAAGTAAATACAATTGTATAGATGCTTGGTCAGAATCATATAAGCAAATTGTAATGTACCTTCTACAAATAATTGTTTGTAGAAAACAAGTTTAGAGAACGACAAACTTTACAGTTTAAAGTATGATGGGAAACAATAGCTTGCCTGCTGTTAGCTTAT